AAACAGATCCACGCTAGCAAGAAGACAATTATCCTAGAACCTCAACTTGGGCCCCACATACACAATCAAAATCGCCACGATCCACAAGCCGAAAATCCAGGCGTACAGCATCATGCGCCCCCACCAGCCTTTCCCTTCGGACATCCGGCGCAGCGTGCCCATGCGCCGCTCCGCGGACTCCATGCTGGTCGTCGTGCGGTCGAGCCCGTCGACCGCGCGCGCCAGCACGGATTTCTCGGCGTCCAGCGAGGCGTGAAAGGCCTGCGAGGAGGATTTGAGCTGCGAGGCGAGTGAGAGGAGCGATGTCGTTAGGTCTTCTTGTTCGGCGCGGGAGGAGACGAGGGTTTCTTCTGTTGTTGTGGGGTTGGGATTGGAGTTGGGGTTTGTTGGTGAGGATGATGATGGGTGGGCTGGGTGTAGTGAGGTGCCGGTTGCTGTTAGGGTTGAGGAGGATTGAGGGGCGGTGGTGGCGATGTTGCGGTTGCGAAGGGTTGCGGAGGGTTGTGTGGGTGGGATTGTTGTTGTTATCGTCGTTGCTCGTGCTGGTGCTGGTGTGGTCGTTGGTGGTAATGGGGAGTCTGCCTCTGTGGCAGTCGGTGTGGGGAGCGCGGAGGAGAGGGTTGGTGGCTGTGGTTCTGCCTGTGGTTGCTGGTCTTCGACGGTGTCATTGCCCCGGTCCTCGTCGACTACTTCGTCGGTGGTGCTGCCATCTTCCGGGGTTCCAAGAAGGTCTTCCCCGTCGAGGGGTTCGGAATCCGAGTCCGAGTCTTCTTCAGTTTCTGCGCTGGGAGTTGATGCGGAGGTGCTAGTGCTGAATGCCGCTGCGGCGTGGTGTTGCTGCTTCCTACCCCGGCTTGTCTCCGCTTCGGCGGTGAGTCGGTCTAGAAAGTCCTGGAGGCGGCTGAGGACAAGGCGTTGCTGTGCGAGGTTGGTCTGGAGGGTTTGTCTGTGATCGGAAGGCTTGATCTGGGGGAGGTTGCGTTCGAGGTTCTGAAGGGTAGTGCGGGCGTAGTCTATGTTCTGGGGAGTGGGGTTGCTCAGGTCAGTGATGATGTTCGGCCGTGGAGACAAGCGGAGAGGAGGGGGGACATTGTGAATCGGATGCGGACTTGAGTCGTTGCGCATTTGATCGACCTCACAAGTTCCGAACAGTGTATCTGAGATGGGAAGATGTTCTGATCAAGTCCCGTGGGGTGCACATACCGCTCCTACTCTCTTGCGCTGGTAGTCTGATTGTCGGAGTGGCCTCAAGTCCGCCGCGGAAGAGAGCAGATTGTATTCTAACCGTGCCAACAGGCGCGACAGATTCAGGGCGGCGAGATCGTAAGAATCCGGGGAGGTATCGTACGTCGTAAGTGTCATCTTGGCCAGTTACTCGCGCTTTTCTCTTCCGATGGCTCTGCTGAAATCTGGAAATCAGGGAGTGAGTGAGCTTGGATGCCCGACGGATCTTCCATCTCGCGGTGCGGCGGAGAGCTCGGATGACTCAGCAGGGGGAGAGCTATACTGCCATGTGAGCCACACTAGTCCAGTTTGGGATGTGTAGTTATATCCAAGGGCATTGGAAGGTAGGAAAGTACTGTATGTACTAAATCCTTCCTTCATCGCAAGAAGACACTGCACTTGGCTAAAGACGCCCTGAGTCTCCATCGTTGCTACTTGTGCGAGGTCAACGCGGCTCCCGAGAGCTATACTTTGATGGGTCTGTAAGCGACTCAACTGCGAATCTCTATGTTGTACAGCTCCAGATCTGCCAAAGAGATGGGACAGCGTGCCACAAGTGCTTCTACTGCAGAAGCAGCTGACTCCTCATCGCTGTTATCTCCTTTTCTTCTACTGACCCGGATGTTCTCTTTCCAACTCTGACAAACACTTCCGATTATCATTCAGTCATCAATCATCATCAACCACAGACTAAAAACTCCTTTGACAAATCAAGAACTAAAAAAATGCCACCCAATCCTCGAGCTTGCCTTTCTGGCATGCGCTTGGAACTGGTCCCTGATGAGAACATTATCCATTTCGAAATGAGGAGGAATAACCGAAGCATGACGAAGAAGAAGGAGAAGGCCCCTCAGAAGCAAATCCAGGCAAGTAAGCGACAGAAACCACACACATTATCAAGAAATCAACTGTACTCCACCACCACCCGTTTCCAGGTCCGCACTCCCTCCTCGTCTGCATCGCGCATGTATTGGACTGCGTACTCGGATTTCCGCGTCGGTTGAGTTCCGCTAGACTCCGCAACATTGAGCGGCGGTTCCTGGCTGTGGCTTTCGGTACGCCACCCAACCGGGGATGAACCCGTCCGTGGTGGAGCGTTCGGGGCCATGCTGCCACCATTCAACCGCTCCGGAGACAAGCCACCGAGATCATTTTGACAGGTGGAGGAATTGAAAATTCTGTTCATAGCGGCGTTCCCGGGGGCTGGTTGAGCAAGCTCTTCGCTGGAATACGAGTGTTGCGACGTCCACGAGCTCCGCTCTCGAGTTAAGACCGCCGCCAGATAACCACTTGATGGCAATTGAGACGAGTGCGACAAGGGCTGCAGAACGTCGCAAGCTGAAGGGAATGAGCTAGCGTGGTGGGAGATCGGATATTGCAGGTAGGCAACGCCGTAGCCTTGGCCCACTGGACTGCTTGGTCCGTCGCCACCTCCCTTCTCTAGCGAAGATGACAGCGGATCCATTTGCCTCTCTGCTGATGCGTACCTGAGCCGTCGACGCCGGATACGCTGAAGAAGGACTAGGGCGCAAACTATGCAAGCAACAGAGTAGATGATTCCGAGCGACGCTATCTGGTTATTCTTCGGAATCGCCGTCTTAACATTCGTGCACCTCATTGCAAGGAGGCTTAGGGTTTATAGTTCCCTGTGGCGGCCAATAGGATCCCAGCTGCTCGTTAAGCTGTGGGCAAAATGAACTACACATTCAGTAAGTATTTGGACCAAACTATCATTGGGAAGGCCATGTAGCACAAGGAATGGGTGAGGTACTGTATCACGTTCGTTTCTTTTGTCGAAGTAGTTGCTTCTATACAATTCTGATGGGCGACTGCAGGGAGACAAATAAGGCCGGGCCAAGCAAAAGCGTCGCATCCAGATGCACCAGGAGAGAAGGTGAACAGATCAAAAGTACGATATGCTTGGATTTAACTCGATGCTCGCAGATATCGGACGGTCTTTATAATTGAGACTGGACCATGGCGCAACCAATATAGACGGTAACAACAGCAATAACATCCGGCCTTAGGGCAACCCATGCATGGCACGAAACACGCCTTTTTTTTAGTTATATGCCCACGGAGATATGCGGACTCCACTACAGAAAGACTAGAGACATATCTGATGGAAATGACAGTCTACTTCACTAACGCGCACTATTCGAGTGGGCTATGACAGAGGGGGGGGAGGTTAGCCCCTCCCAGTCCAGCTGTGCCATCATCAGCCACGAGAGCTTACGAACCGATCGCAACCGACGAGAATGACCTCCAACTATAGATGCACCCCGATCATAGGCCCAAGAGAGCTAGACAGGTCGGGATGAAGGTCCTGAAGCAAGGCAGGTTCAGCTGCCCAGCGGAAGCGCCACCACTCTGTGCCATCGGCTAGGAGACCCGCTAATTCTTAAAGGGAGAAAGCGGCCCAGTCAGAACGCCATAAGGCTACCTGGAGTCCTTGGAGTCCTGGACCGTGTAAGCCTCGATTCGTGCCTCGAATCTCCAGCAGAGTCTCGGAGGCGGGGAATTTGCGGAAAATCGAGCCAAGCGAACCGGACCCAACACGATGGTTGAGACTGTTCGATTCGAATTACCCCTGTCAATGGCGCCGCGAAGGACCCGGCAAAGTTACGACCAGTCAACTACTTTGGATCCATGGAGCCCTGTCTCGTGATCTTCTTATCGCCTCTTTGCTCGCCTTTCCTGCCTTTGCATGGCTTGGTCATCTAAGGGTCCTTTCATTGTGTTGTGTTGCCGTGCATCTCAGCTGCGCCTTGACTACCGATCGACTGTTGGCGTAGATCCAGTTCTAGGTCTTAGGCTAATAATTTGCGATTAAGGGTGCGTGGAACCCGGTGGAGGTCGAGACTCTTTGCACTCTGGACTAGCCCTCAGCTCGCCATTTCCCCATCCACGAGGAACTTGCCCGATTATTGATTAATTGAAATCAATCATGAGTAATCGATGTGGTTATATGACCCCTCCTCTGTGCATGCCACCGACAATTGTGTTTGTGGTGGTAAGTGCGAGGCTCCCGCGCCGCCCCAATGTGGCGGTGAATGGGTCAGCCTGCTTCTGCAGGCACTGCAGGCACGTCTTCCATGCCAGATCTAGGTAATGTCTAGTTCCTGCTGTCCGGTATAAGCTCACCCGCTACAGCCAATGACAGGTGCACTCATTCAGATGCATTCTGTCGATCGATCGGTTGTTCCTTTCTACTGGGTAGCCTTGACTGGTGCTCTTGCTTTATCTATTTTTTTTTATTTCTACTTGGGCCACAATACCCTTGATCACTTGGACAATTCATTGCTCGCCTCCCAAACCGATCGTATACCAGCTTGCATCTTGCCGCTCATGAGCAAGTTTCAATCTAGCTGCCTACTACAGCGCAAAATAATTGGGTCACGAATCAGTGATTACGTTACCGTATAGCCACGACAGGCGTTCCATATCCCCGGACAGATGAGACAAAACCATTATTGGAGATCTCTGTATTCTCCAATAGCTTCTCTGGCTAATGACCGGGCGTGGAAAACAGGCTTTCTACTGTGTTGGTAGAGGAAGCAAGAGCAGGACAAATATACAAAGACAATGGAGAGAGAGATTTATAGTCTTGCAGTCGGCTGCATCTCCCCATCAGCACGCTCACGAAGCATCTTTCGCAGGATTTTCCCTGATGGATTCTTGGGGATTGCGTCGATGAATACCACTCCTCCGGTGATTCTTTTGAACGGCGAGACCTTGTCGTCCATGAATGACAAGATGTCTCTATCGGTGGCGTTCTGTCCGGAGTTCAGCACGATATATGCTCGAGGGCGCTCATCGTCATTCCTATTCCAGAAATTGTGTAAGCAATTCGTCTTTTTGTTTTGATCTTGCTGTCAAAAGGTCGCCTCTCAACCACTTACATTGGTACACCAATGACGGCGGCATCGGCCACTGCAGGATGATCCAACAATATCGCCTCTAGCTCAGCTGGCGCGACTTGGTTTCCCTTGACTTTGATCAGTTCCTAACGCAGGAGTGGCGGTTAGCATCGCAGATAGAGAGAGGCAACAAGACATGCAGGACCGGCGTGTCCGATCGTGATCCGCCGCAGGTGGCGAGCAGGAAGACCGTCTGTCTCACTAGCTTACCTTTTTCCGGTCCACCACATGGAACAGACCTTGATCATCCACGAAGGCAATATCGCCTGTCTTCAACCATCCGTCTCCAGTCTTGGTTTCTTTGGTTACGGCGGGATTCCTCCAGTAGCCTTTCATGATATTCTGCCCACGAACCCACAGCTCACCCCGCTGACTCGGTCCCAGCTCCGTCCGGTCATCGTCAGCCATGATCTTGGCTTCACAGTTCGCATTCAGCTCACCCACCGATGCTGGGTGCGTCTTCGTCGTGGGGTCCCAGCCCAACAGTGAACATGTCGTCCTAACGGCGAGCCCGACAGGGGTGTCTGTTAGCTGGTGGTCGTTCGCCACACGTTTGCCCTGCACATCCAGCACAGCAAGACTGGAACTCACTCGGTCATTCCCCAACCTTGACGGACCGTGATCCGGCCCGGCTCCCAGAGCTTCTCAACCTGCTCGCAGACCTCCGCGCCCAAGGGCGCCGCACCACTGGCGACCCCCTCCACGCTACTCAGATCATACCTACCGCTGCGGACGGCCGGGTGCTTCGCCAACGCCACCACCACCGGGGGCACGAGGATGAGGTCCGTGATCCGGAACCTTTCCGTGTACTCGAGCATCTTCAGCATATCGAACTTGGGCATGATGTAGACGGGCACGCCGCGCCGCAGCGCCGCGGCGATGAAGATATTCTGCGCCATGGCATGGTACATGGGGAGGAAGCAGAGCCAGCGCGCGCGCGCCAGCCGCTGCACCCAGTCCGGGTACAGGTAGAAGAGGAAGTTATACTGCAGCAGATTGGCGACGTAGTTCTTGTGCGTGATCTCGACCCCCTTGGGTCGACCGGTCGTGCCGCTCGAGTAATTCAGCGCCAGCGTCTGCGCCTCCGCCGCGCCGGGGGTCATCAGATCGTCCCACGCCCACCGACTCCCTTCCTCGACGGAGGCGATCAACTCGCCCCAGTAGCGATAACCCTGCCTCTCGTCCAGCTTGCTCTGCAGATCATCGTTGTCTTCAAAGACCGCACTATCAAACACAAACACCCGATCCAACCCCAACCCCGCTCCCCGGGCAGCTTCCACCCCGGTCTCCAGACTGCCCCGCGCACAGATCAGAAACGTCGCCCCGGAGTCCCGCAGCTGATACTCCAGCTCCCGCGCCACAAAGGTGGGGTTCGCTCCCGTGAAGATGCCGCCCGCCATGATGATTCCCATGAACACGACGGGGAAGAACAGATCGTTCCCCGAGAACAGGAGCACGCGGTCCCCGCGCCGCAGGCCGGCGGTCCGGAGCCCCGCGGCGAGCCGTTGGCTCCAGAGGCGGAACGAGTGCTCCGTGAAGTAGTGGGTGTCCGGGCGGGCGGCGTCGAGGAAACATCGGTGGGTGTGGGAGAGCGGGTGGGTTGAGGAGGTGAAGAGGAGGGTGGCGAGGTGGCAGCTGGGGATGTCGATGGACCAGCGGGATTGGAAGGGCATTTTTGTTGAGGTAAAGGGTGCAGTGGGCAAGTGAGGTGAGAAAGAAGAGGGTGGTGGAAGTTATTGCATCCCAGTGGCTGGCATGCACTTGATAGGATAGGATAAGATGCTTGCTGGGGTTTGGGGGTATATCGGTGTAATGTATACAACGAAAGCTTTATAGAATATCGTACGTAGTCAAGACAAGACCGCTGGATACAGCAGTCGCAGATGTACAGTACAGTGCTTGCAATCAAGAAACCTCACATCCACAAAAAACAAAGAGAACTACGAGTCATGCAGAAGGGATGGGATACTATGGAACGATATAAATACGTCAATCGACTCAGTCCAGTCCAGTCCATCATCCAACCCAAATCAATTCCCAGTTTCGATCAGTCAATCAGTCAATCAGTCAATCAATCAATTCGCCAGCTAGTCCAAAAAATCTCCACGCAGAAGGGAAGAGAGGGAAGAGGGGAGGGGAAGCACAGGCCCAACACCGCGGGCGGCGGCGGCGGCGGCGGCCCATTCATCCATCCATCCATCCATCCATCGTGCATGCATAGTTATGATCCGCTGGTCGTTTTCTCCTCTCCTCCTCCATTACCCATTTAGTTAGTTGGCTTTGGCGTGTTTATCCATGCTGCTAATGCCACTTATACGAGCACAACCAGCTAGCAGGGGACGACGTCCTTATGCAGCGGTGAGTATGTATAAGATAGATCACTGCACACTACTCCGTACCTAAACTAACAACGAATCCAATACTCCAGTAGGAAACCGGCAGGGGGGTTTCCCGGCCCCAATCGACATGCAGACACGCAACCCCCCCCCCTCGTAGCCCATCACACCGGGATTAACCCAGCTTAGGTTCTGGCTGATTGGAGAACTGGATAATAGGTTAAATCCCGGGGTTTGGGGGAAAAGGGAAAAGAGGCAGTTGCTGCGGATGGATTGATTGGATGTCATAGATTTCGGCTCGGCTTTTCCGCTTTCCCTGTCGCTCTCTCTCTCTCGTTTACTAGATAGGTAGGTTGATGGTGTTGACACACACACACATACACATACACACACACACCTCTTTCTCCCCGCATTCTGGCTCGGGTGGTCGGTTACCTTCCTTGGCTTGGAGGGGGCCGAGGTTCTTTCTTTTTTGGGGTTTGGGTGGATTGATGGGGTGGTTGTTGATTGATTGGTTTGATGGGAGGGGATGGAGAGGGATTAGAGTGGGGGAGTGGTTGCGGGGGATCGGCATCAGATGGAGATGGGGACAATCGATCATGGACTGGACTGCTCCCTACTCCGTACAGAGTGCCACTATCTGGCACAGTGGGACTTGGGGAAAGCAAACATTCATTCATGCTTGGATTATTGTGTCTGGGTAGAGTAGGGTGGGTGGTTTGCGAAGGGAAAGAAAGGTACTACGAACTTACAGGCCACTCTTGACCTGTCAACCACTGAGTACCTAGGTAAACTACTACCTTGCCACAGTACTGTACTGTACATATCTGATCCGAATACTACCTGGAAAGACAATAGCAGACCCCCTATGCAATAGATTTCTCCCTAAACAAAAAAGTACCCCCTTGAATTCGCTTCACCAGATGGAAAATAATAAAAGGTCATAAGTACGACATATAGAACAGTCCTCCTCCCACGGAAGAGAAAGCAAAGATCTTGGTCTGGTTTGGAATTCTAAACAAACGCCATTCTTCAGGGAAAAAATAGCTCACGCCTCATCCCCACCAAGGCATACCAACGTTGCCTTCAGCTCACTCGTGATCTTCTCCTCCAGCCGGTTCTCGGCCCCCGAGGCAGCATCGACCGGTTTCTGACGCGCCAGCTCCAGCTCCTTGTCACTGGTGGCCACGATCCGCGCCCGGAGGCTCTGCTTGCGCTCGAGCAGCTCCTCGATGTCCTCCTTGACCTGTGCCTTGTCCCATTTCAGTTCCTGGATCGCCTGAGCGTCCACGCCGATGCTGGCGCCGGCTGCACGAAACCGGGTCAGGATGAACGAAATCAGCGCGAGGGAGTACGCTTCCGAGACCATGCTGAGAGTGAGTCGCCGGGTGGAAGCGACCCCGGAAGCGCTGACCGCGCGGGTTGCGGCGAATGATTCGGCCGAGCGGGTCAATTGGCCTTCGAACTGGTTGAGGAACCCGGCCACTTCCGGCGCCGTGCGCATCACATGGTAGAGGAGGTTCAGGCACAGGGGAAGGATGCCACCGGTCCAGATGGAATAGAGTCGGGGCACTGGGTCGAATGGGCCGAATCCCTTGCTCTGGCGCATGAAGGTCGAGAGTCGGCTCGTGGAGATCCGTGCGAGGACCGTCTCAACGGCTAGATGCTCGGCTAGCATGGGGATGGTGGACAGCTTGACCAGCAAGGACATGCTCAGCTCGCCGTACACAGGGTCGCCAGCCACAGTCCGCTGATCAGCCCATGAGAACAACGATGTTGCAAGTCGTGCTGTGTCGTTATCGGCAATGTGGTAGACGATGTGTTCAAACGAGCGATCGACGTTCTTGACCTGCAAGGCACTCTGCAAAATCGCGGTGAGGAGCGCAAAGTCCTTGGGCGTACATTTTTCGGGTTGCTCGTGGAGATAAGTCACTAAGGACTTGAAGCCTTGCGCAACAACAACCTTGACAACTTCAACCACGACTCCCAGGTCAGAGGAGACTTCCGCCTTCTTGGTCAGAGTTTCCGGTGCGGCCCGAGCAGGGGTATCGAGGTGGAACTGCAGTGCAAGGAAGAGGACGTTCAACAGTAAGCGGTAATACTCCGTGTCGTCATTGATAATAGCTTCTTCGTAAGAAGTACGGCGAGATCGCAATGCATCCCATACGACCTTGAGAAGACCGAACACCTCGGCTCCCTTGGCGCCAACGGTAACCAGGCGTTGAAGCAGGGCCTGGGCAAACTCCGCTCGTGTTTGCTGTATGCGTTCGAAGATGGCCTCCTGAGGAACGCCTCTCGTGTTGGCTTCCAGGCAGCTCTGTACGACCAGGGCCATCGACTTCTGAACTTCGCGATCCGCCATAAAGTCCTCGCAATGCTCGATGGCAAAGAACTTCCAGCTGTAGAGAAGACTCTGCAAAGATTTCCGATTAGCAAACTTTCTTCCTTCATGAAATGCGAGGAGCACAAACCACTTGCGCCTCAACTAATGACAAGTTGAGGTTGGCGCGCTGGAACTCTTCGGCAAACCCTTGGTTTCGAGTCCCTGTCCAGGCAAAGTCGTATGAGAGAAGCTTCTGGCCTAAATCGACATCATAGAAGTAAGCTGGTCCCAGAGACCGGGTTTGCAGCGGGGACCTCTTGAAGTCGGCAAGTTTGCACCCAGGGTATCTCATTTCGAAGTTCTTCTTGAGATTCGCATGTAGTGAGACGTTGTACGCAGATACGTCCACCGCATCTTTGGAGAACCAAGATACAAGGGGAATCATGGTCTTGTAGAAGCCCTTATCCTGCATGTCCTTCGCCGCATGCAGATAGACGCCGCAGAGATCCGCGACCACGGCCGCTATCTGAGTAGCGAAAACCTGGTCGGTCGCTGACAGAGACGAGATCTTCAGCTTTGAGACATAGTTAACAATGCTGGTAAAGAATTGTGGGTGTTTCTTGAGCTCGGGTGTCGCCCATGGCCAATTCTCCTGCGCATGCGAAACAAAAGCCAGTAGCGAAAGTGCTAATCGAAGGTCAGTCTGCTCTATCCTCGCAAGAGTGTCAAGAGCGATCTGCAAGAAAGGAGCTCCTCTCATAGCAACCTCCTTCTGCTTGTCATCCTTCTTCAGCGATTGGCGCGGCGACGTCCCCGTTAGTATGTAAACAGCAAGCCATGGTTGACGCTTGCTTATGATGGTGGACAGGAATTGCCAGATTGCCAGTCGGAGGCGCTGGTCATTGAGAGGTTTATCGAATTGGGATATAATGTCGAGAAAGAGGCAGGCTGACTCGGGACCAAGGTGACCGACCAGGGATGGTGGTTCCTTCGCGGGATCCGAAGCGGCGCCCGATATGAGGATCTCTAAGATTGAGATAATTGGGAACCGATATGCGTCATCCAAAGCATACAACTTCACCAGAGCAGGGGTAGCCTTGAAAAGCTGCTCTTCGAGAAGCGACGGGGGAAGATTCAGGCACCGTGCTGCTTGCAACAGCCTGAGGGAAAGATCTAATGTCGCTAGCACCTGCTTCTGAACGAGCGCCAAGTAACGAAGGTGTAGAGTAGAAGGAGCCTGTAACCCATCGAGAATCAGGCGTAAAATGCAGTTGAACGGCAGCTCAGCAGTCGCCTCGGGACGCATCACCTCCAGCAAGAATGTTGCGGAGGATGAGAAGACACCAGTAGCCTTCAAGTCCAGTTTTTCATCCTCGTTTGTTCCGTATGCGTAATAAAGGATACGTTCAAATGTCCTGGCAAGCGAGGTGTTTACCGCAAACCTTTGCTCGATCGCATTGAATCTCCAGTTTCCATTACTGTTGTAGGCGTCGACCATTGTCCGCACAAAGTTAAGTAGAATGCCGCGCATCATATGTGAAGGAACGCCCGCGGTCCAGTTTGCAGCATTCATTGTCTTTCCGTTGACGCCATTGGGATTCCGTCTCAAGACGGCGCGAGAGGCTGCATCGTCGACAACAGCATCAAACAACCGTACACAGCCCAACAGGAAAGGGTAGTTTCCCGTTGTTACCTCCGCAGCAGATATGATGGTCGTCATAACGCCACCTTTTCCGTCGGTGCCCAGTAAGCCACTACGGGAGAGGAATGGCCAGACTCTGCCTGGGAGAACCTCTAACAGGGCATGAATAAACCGTAAACAGGCAATCGTGCTCTCAAGTACAGTATCCAAGCCTGTTCTTGAGCCAACAAGTGGAAGGTTCCGTTCGAAAATCTCAAATATCAAGGATATGATATCGCCCTGGTGAGAAAGACCATCACTCGCCAGTTCTAGGATTCGCTTGGCGCCAGATCTATCTCCATCCTGTGCCTGCGCATCCTTAGCAGCTACCATGAGGTCGGCAAGAAGTCCGATGGAATCCGCAACAGAATCGTCCCCATAGCCTGCTGCGAAACCACCTTGCTCATTCCATTCTTCCAACCAGCTTCCGAGATAGCTCAAACAGGAGTAGTCGTGATGCCACGCGATGACTGCAGGCCTCGACTCAGAGATGACCTGACCAACTGCCGTTGATGGGATCTGGGAAGAGGCGGTGACAACCAATGCATTGCCCATATCACGGCTGCCGATCCACCTCCGAGGAGTG